AAAAAATGCACTTTAAAAGCCCAACTCGAGACCTTCCCGCGGTAAAGTGCGTTAGTAAATTTTTTAATTGAAGCTAACCGAGCTCTGGCTGAAAAAAATTATTGTCTTATTATTAAAAATGTGTGTGACTAATATCTATACGGTTTAATTATTTAAGAAGTTTAAGAATAGTTATTAAACAACAAAATCGTATCTAACTAAAATATAACTAAACCGTACAGAAATTGTGCACAAATATTCCGAATAATAAAAAATGTCAGTAATCCGTGTCATTATTTCTCATCGTTCTTGAATATTAATCGCAATAATGTTGATGGAAATCATTGTCGGGCTGCATGGCTCTCGACATTTGCGCATGGTATTGCCGACGCACCAACATTTTTTCATGTGTAATGATTTTTGCAGTGATTCGATGGTTTTGGAAATATTGCACGTATGTTTTCTTATGTAAAAAAGTGTGCTCTACAACTTTTGTTTGAACATTTTTTTACGAAAATGTAACACAACAAAGTTATATTGCAATATAGCACACAAAACTCGCAAAATTTTTAGAAAAAAGTTTATTTCGGCGAAATTTTGCATCTCAGACTTCATATTACGGAAGTATAAAAATATCACCTTAAAGAGCACAATTTTCTGAATAAAATTCACTACTGACTTGTTCATTTTCATTGTATTATCGATATGAAAAAAAATGAAACGTAAATCAATCGCGACGCGCCTTTCAGGCGCCATTTTGTTATGTTCCGCAACGCGAATTTTAGCGAACTTTCGTTTATGTTATTCAAATATGATATACTTTCGATATTTAATAGTCTCGTTGAGTTATCTTAACTTTGCCGGTTCAGTCACGAAAATGAGGGTGAGTTGCAGGCCTAATATCGTTGCATTTCATTCAATACTGATCGTCTGATGACTTCTATCATGTTGAATCCGAAAATCGTGTTTCATTCATGTTAGTATTCTATCGCGTCCGTACCCATTTCCTCATCAAACTAGCATTATATCTGGTTGAATATTAATTGTCCGACGATTTCTATCATGTTGAATAAGAAATCCGGATTTACTTATGTAAATATCCTATAATGTTCTAACTCGTTTTTCCAACTCTATAATACTGTATCTCATTGAATACTGATCGTCTGATGACCTGTATCATGTTAAATCCGAAAATCCTGTTTCATTCATGCTAATATTCTATCGCATCCGAACCTATTTCCTCAATGAACTAGCATTGTATCTGGTTGAATATTAACTGTCCGACGATTTCTATCATGTTGAATAAGAAAATCCGGATTTACTTATGTAAATATTCTGTAATGTTCTAACTCGTTTTTCCAACCCTATAATACTGTATCTCATTAAACACTGATCATCTGATGACTTCTATCATGTTGAATCCGAACATTCATGCTAGTAACACTTCGAAGTGTTACTTTTGATTTTCTAACACACAAATAATGTTAATAGTAATAATAATAAAACTCTGTAAACAGTAAACGCTAGGCAATATATTTCCAAGTTCTACAGTACCCTGTATAATTTAACAGGTAATATCGTCTCTGAACTCGATCATTTTATTTCTATATGCAGTCTAAATGCTGTGAAACAAAAGGAGTAGGGATGACAATAGGCAAAATAGGTCAAAATGTGCAACCCAGTTCTAGGCCTGGATTAAGCTGTTTTTGGAATACAATAGTTGTTTTTATCGCAATAGTAGTTGCTACATTTGCGATACATATAACTAATTGACTTAATAATATATATTCAACAACAATTGTTTCTGTGAAAATGTGTCAAGCACTTTAATTTCATTGATCATAAATTAAACTAAGAGAGAATTGAGGTAGAAGTAGTTTATTTAAATTGTAGCATAAAAAATTAAAGTGTACAAATTTTCTTTGTATGCAAAGTAAATTAATATTCTTATAGATAAAAAATGGTAGTCGGTGAATAGCGTTTTTTATGTCGTCTTTTAAAATAGCCTGTATCTTGAA